GGAGAATGCTAAGGAAAAGAAAGGAGTATCAGCTCCAACAACAGGTAAGTCAAGTTCGCATCAAGCAGATTAAACCAGTCTTGATTGCAGAGCAAAAGGTCAAGCCGAAAAATCCTAAGCATGGAAATTTAGTCTGGAAATGGAAACCAGAAATGCAAGCGTCGACATCTGGTCGACCTAAGCAATCTTCACCAAAGCAAGACATTAAATCTGCGCGGTACGAACCACAACAATTGTCAAGATCAATTTCATCGTTAAGCTCTTACATGGTTCGAGTATGCCTTCCATCAAACCTTCGGGTAATGATGATAGAGCCAGATCATCCGGTAGAGGTTACAATAGAAGAGAAAGAAAAAGCAGAATTTCACTTTGACATAGAAGAGGTAGTTGAATTTGAAAAACCTCCACCCAAGGGTTCAAATCATTTAAGGGCTCTGAATATTAACGCAAAAGTTAATGGCCGACCGGCGTCTCGAGTATTGGTGGACGGAGGATCTACATTGAACCTCATCCCATATCGTTTCTACAAGAAACTGGGAAGGCGTGATGAGGAGATTATTCCATCAAACATTCAATTGTCCGACTTTACTGGAGAAATTTCTAAAGTTAAAGGAATTTTCATTTCTGACTTAACCGTGGGTACCAAAACTTCCAGAACGTCCTTTTGTGTGGTTGATGCAGATGGGTCTTACAATTTACTATTGGGCCGAGATTGGATTCATGGTAATCAATGCGTACCATCAACTCTCCATCAGATGCTAGCATTTTGGAATGGAGACAAGGTAGAATACGTCAAAGCAAACACCAAATCACAGGTAACATATGCACACGCATCTCCGACTTGTCAATTGGCACTGGAAGACAGTATATCAATCAGTAAGCCACCTCTCGTTGATCCCAATAGTATTGCATTCTGCCGTTTCGACAAAGGGATCGTTGAGTGGGTCCCAAAGAGTCAACTGGCAGCACAATTAAATGAGGTTGTCCATGGAGAACCTTATATTGTCAAAAGACCTCACTGAAAGGTACTCGGCCTATCGGGCCGAACTTGCAGAACAATCCGCAGAAGCTGTCGACGGACTTATCGACGGACCACATACTGCAAAACCGGAATGATATCTCAGAATCAGAATTAGAATTGAAGACAACGCAATATTTAAAAGACACGTACCTGTCTCAGATATAGTTGTCTCACGTCCAACCATATTAAGAGCGATAGTGGTTACGACGGTGGAATCAAGAATTGGAGCAGTTCGGACAAGTGGAGAAGTAAGAACAATTGCTGGTAAGACTGGAAAGAAAAGAAGAATAAATAAACCCAGTAAACAAGACGAGCAGAATACACCAGACAACAACAAAAGTTTACCAGGGGTCACAATAGTAGATGAACCAGGCTGAGTGAAGAGCTGTACTCGGGAAATCATCGAATTGATAACAGAGGCGCTAGAAGATATCAAGGTAGTTGCGGCCAGTATGGTGCTAAAAATACCAGTCGATGGAATTGAGATGTTGCTAACTCGCTCGAAAGAAGGAAGACCAGTAGATGCTAAGGCAGTAATAGGGTTATGAATTGTGGGAACAGAGATGCTATCTCTCGGACCTTTATCCAAAGAAGCAATAGGTTCTAAAAAAACCACATCACGTGCAACCGGCTCAGCAGATGGTTCGACAGATAAAGTGCTGGACTTCTTTCTTGGAGAAAAAGGAGAAGATCTTTTCCTTTTCCTTTTCAGCAATGATACCATCTCCTCCAACGTTTCCTCTTCAGAGACAATCCAGAGGGGAGAAAGACCTCATAAGTAACAAACTAATATAAAGGAGAAGATAAGGTGAGTTGACACGGAGGAAGAAAGACAAAGATTTACCATCAGTAGGATTTTCTGCAGCATCGACACCTTCTGCGTCAGAGTATTCTTCTGTTTCTGAGTTAAGAAATGGAAAGTTAGAAGATGCACCGGATTGAAACTGAATAAAAACATAGAATGGTGGTGTCGATACCTTGGGTAATCGGTTTCTTAGAACCACTCCGCTTTGCACAACCAATCACAGATCGAAGGGCTTCTTCGTATGTACTTTCAAATGCAAAGGAATACCACCAAGTTTACCACTCAGCAAGGTATCCTGGACTGGCTCTGAAACCATTAGGGAGGTCTGCACTATAATGGGTGCGCATTGTGTTAGCAATTTCAATACAACAGAGAAGTGGGCCTCGATTCTTGAGAGAGTATTCTTTCTTCTTGGTCCCTTCCGAGAAGCCCATTGAATAAGGAATTGGCATGGGGATTGCTTGCCAGAGTCCAAATTGCCTAGCACAATATTGCGGAGAATATACCTCAAACCCAGGATAGAATCGACCCTTCAATGAAGTCCATATGGGAAGATCTACTGTAGACAAAGCACAAGTCCAGAAAAGCCTATAGAGGTTGAATCGAGCTGGATCGAATAAATAATCAAACTCTCCATGGCCATACTTAAAGAAAATGACTCGGTCATGATTCAGTTCAAGAAAAGCTCGAAGATAAAAGATAAAAGGAGGCGCTGGAGAAGGAATATGTCGAGGAGAACAGCTCAGTAATCGACAGCCCAGAGGTAGTGGTACAGGTTTTCTATATCCTTGCAGAGACAGATGGGGAAGATGACGAATGCTTTTACCGAAAAGGGAAGGAAAATACAAGGCTATCCATGCTTGAAGTATCCAAAAAGCACCTGAAATGGTTCCAGAATCCCCGAACTTCATTGCTCGAGAGGCATGGGTAAAGCCTCTATATATAACTGCAAGAACAAGAGGGGCCAATGCAAGGCGTTGTCCCATGGCTAGGGCTGCGGCAATTTGCAAATAGTCCTTGCAAACTTTAAGGGCAGGACTAAAAAACACATATTTTGATAGCCAAAAGAGCAAGAAAAAGAGATGCTCATCTTGGGTAATAGGACCCGAAGCTCGATAAAATTGAGACAAGAAATTGCTGTATGCCAGAGCATCTTCAGAGATAAAAGGAGTGGGCAGTACAGGCAAATCCTCAACGGCGTGACCAACCAACTCAAAACCCGCTATGGCAAACACATCGAGCATAGTGATGGACATGTGGCCCCAAGGAAAAAAGAAACAGGTGCTTTGGAAGATGACCAGAAAGTGATGGCAGAGCCCAATAACCCACGTTCCAGGTCATAAGATGACATACTGACCTCGAGAGCGATATCGATTCCAGCAGCTGTCCATAAAAGTCGAGTTTCTTGGTCGGCCTTCAATCGAATAAACCATTTGTGAAAATCCTCTTCGTAAGAAGGGAAACTTCGAAATCGAGAAGACCCGGTGGACCACACATCCGTAATAGAAGAATGTTACAGTGCCAAAGTCTCACTATGTTTATACGGGAAGTGGAATTGAAGATTCACAGGTATATTGAGATAGTCCATGAAACTGGGGCCTAGAGAGAAACGGTTGCATTCATCCTCGACAGCTTTCAGTAAATGAAAAAAGCAATTACCAGCGCGCGGATCATCTTTAAACTTGTCAAAAGCTGCGATGTAATCACTGGCTGAATATTCAGATTTCTTGGACGCCATAAGAAATGATGGATCAAGATCGGAAAAGAGTTCAAGAAAGGATTTTTAGGGTTAGAAAAGAAGACGCGACGGTGAAACAAGGCTTTTACAAGAATAAAGAATGAAGGAGACGATTCGAAAAGTCACAACTGTTCGGGGAAGATACGAGGTGATGTGTTCAAAGGGTATTGGATGAAGAATTCGCATGGACTGCTCGAAAGGACATCAAAGGATAGAAAGCACGATCATCGCCTAGGGATTCGTACACAGACAAGGTACACCTTTAAAAGAAATAAATTCAAATTTATTCCTTTTAAAAAGGGGCATATGTTGACACCCAAAATTATCCCTAGTGGGAGTGGGCTGTTTACAAGTTACAAAAGATATAAAGTGCGGCCCACATAGCGAAAATCCAAAAGGCCGCAAGTCAGGCCCAGAGGCATTAAGAAGACCTAAGGCAATTGTCGACAAGACACGTCATAGAGGTGTCGACAAATTCAAAATCACGAGCCTTGCACGTGACATCGACAAGTTCAAGATCACGAGCCTTGCACGTGACGTCAACGAATCCAAAGACCACAAGCTTTGCACGTGATGTCGACGAGTCCAAGATCACGAGCTTTGCACGTGACGTCGACGAATCCAAGATCACGAGCTTTGCACGGAATCATGGTAATACGTGGTGGAAAATTCATTTATATGTGTCAAAAGGTAAAAATATGACCGTGGGCGTGAAGATCAAGGAAGAAATAAAGAGACACGATAGCTAGTACGTGATACCCAAGGAGCGTAAGCCACATCGATAAGTCAGGAAGCGGTTAAAACGCGAAACGTAAGGAAGTGGAAAACGACTTTCAAGGAGAAGTGCGGTCAACAGTTATCAAGCTGCTCTATAAATACTCAAGGATTTCCAACGAAGAGAAGACCTTCTTCGACAAACACAACACATCTTTTATCTAGTCTTTATCCTTAACGCATTAGGAGTAGTTTAATCATAGCTTTCAGATTCTTTGTCATAGATTCAATTCCGACGAGGGTCTTTATCAGGTTCAGCATTGTTGATTAAATTCCAATGTTGTGCCACCAGTTCAGCCTCGTTGATTAAATTCCGGCGTTGTGCTTAGAGTATAACTGTTGATTAGATTCCAGCCATATTCTCTTAAGCTACGTCATTGATTAAATTCTGGCGTACTTTGAAGTTGTGTCGTTGATTAGATTCCGACATAGCTTAACTTCAACATTTGCAGGTTGTCGTTTCATTGTTAGTATTGTCGAGTCTAGCATCGTATCAAGTCAGGGTGTAAGATCTAAATTGGGATTAATAAACGCATTTGACATTCTATGTCCAAGCTTGATTCAGGACCCTGGTATCCCTTATTAAAATCCGAAACGCAACGTTCGATGAAAGATTTTCAACGGAGTAAAAACCGGCGAAACACCTGGATATATAAATATCATATGGGGGAGGTGGAATAAATCCTATAAATAGGATTTCTAATATCCATAATATAAAAGCTATTTTTCTCAAAAAACAACCTTCTTAAATAATAAAATCAAAATCAAAATTAACCATATGGGTTATCTGGTCCAGAAAGTCTGCTGCTGCTCCTGCTGATCAGCGTTTGAACTTGGAAATTGTGAATTAGGAGGGCTCTCTGATTTGTTTCGGATTCCTTTTTTTCTCCTGCCACCAGAGTGCCGAGTTGGTGGAGGATCTGGCTTCTGTGGCCGCTCTGAATTCCTAAACATTCTGTCATATAATTTTCGCTGCATCTGGTTTGTTCACACCCTATTCGCTTCAACAATCAGCTTGAAAGCTGCCTCAGCACCAGTAAATTTATTTTTATCTGGATGAAGTAACAAAGCAAACTTCCTGTACTGCTTCCTGATAGTTGTATCATCAGCAGACTCTTCAACCTGTATGATTGCATACCAATCATGCTCAGATCCAGAAACTCTGGTCTGTGCAGAACAATGAATCTCGCAAACAGCCAGCATTTGGGATAGGTTCTCAAGCTCCGGGAAAAGACTGTTACAGAAAAGTTGCAGAAGATGGCTGTGCTTTGCAACCACAAAGAAAAAACACAGAAAAGAGAGTCAGAGAGAAGAGAGTGTACACCTGTGAAAAAATGCTTACTGCATTCATACGTCATAATTGAATAACAACTTAGCCTTTTAGACAGGCCATACACCAACAGAAAATCCCAGAAAAGTAGCCACAACAATTGACCCACTATGCTGAACTATCTACCCAATATCCTGAACGTGTGTGCAGCAACAAACATGCTGCAACAGATTCCTATAAACTAGGACAACCAACTAGGCTTTATTATAAAAAAAAACAAACAAATACTTTGACTAATTCAACACCCTCCCTTAAACTGATGTTGCAAACAATCAGTTTAAAAGGACTAGAACCAGCCCTCCCTTAACCTGCAGCTTCCAACGAACAAACACCAAGAAGCTTTCTTAGCTTATGATATGCAAATAATTTGAGAGACTTGGTGAACAAATTAGCAAGTTGATCTTCACTCCTGCAAAAAATTGCAGTCCCTCTCAAGTAGCAAAGAATTCGCTTTGCAGCTTGCAAATGTTTTTCAGTTGGATTCTCCATGTACCTGCTAATAAGGCTCATAGGATGCATGATATCTGGCCTTGTAGCTGTTAAATACATTAAACTCCCCACGATTTGCTTGTAGAAGGTGCTATTTACCTTTCTTCCATCAGGATCCTTCGACAACTTCAATCCAACCTCAGTTGGCATGGTTACCGAATTGCAATGCGTCATCTGAAATTTTTCTAAAATCTCTTGAACATATTTCTTTTGAGATAGAAAAATTCCAGCTTCAGATTGATTTATCTCAATGCCCAGAAAATAATGCATCAACCCAAGATCAGTCATGTCAAATTCCTCCATCATAGATTTCTTAAATGTGTCAATCATGACACTATCATTCCCTGTGAAGATAAGATCATCCACGTACAAACACACTAGAAGCAATTTTCCACCATTACCAATCTTGATAAATAGCGTATGCTCATATGGACATTTTGTAAATCCATCCTTCAAAAAATAAGCATCAATCCTATTGTACCAAGCTTTTGGAGCTTGCTTCAACCCATATAAAGCCTTTTTCAATTTATAGACTTTATGTTCATTACCCGGCTTGACATATCCAGAAGGTTGATGAACAAATACCTGTTCTTGAACATCACCATGTAAGAACGCCGACTTCACATCTAACTGATAGATGAACCATGAATTCTATGCTGCTAGCGCAATCGCTAATCGGATTGTATCGAGTCTCGCAACTGGCGCAAACACCTCTTTGTAAGCCACTCCAAATTCCTGCTTGTAACCTTTTGCCACCAAGCGCGCCTTATACTTTTCAATCTCACCATTCTTGTTCATTTTCGTCTTGTATACCCACTTGACTCCGATTGTCTTTTGCCCTTCGGGAAGATCTGTCAATTCCCACGTACCATTCTTCTCAATTGCTTTGATCTCTGCATCCATTGCAACTCTCCATTTTTTATTTTGTACTGCTTCATCAAAAGTAGTTGGGTCACTATCTGCAAACAAAGCAAAATGGATCAGTGGGTCTTCGGTTTGCTCAACTCTCGACACTTCATTATCTTCCATCCATGCTGGCCTCCGTCGGATGCATTGTGGTCATTCTTCAGATGCTGCGGCAACTGCTGAATTTTCAGCATTTTCTGTGATGACTTGACTCGTAGAGGGCTGCTTTTCCAGCTTAGTATCATCTTCAAAGTTTGCTGGAATTTGTTCACCACAATCACCACCATTCTTCTTGCTCCATGACCAGAATTTCTCTTCATCAAAGATCACATCACGGCTAATGGTAATTTTCTTGGTTATAGGATCATAAAGTTTGTAGGCTTTTGAATGATCACTAATGCCAAGAAAAATACATTTTTCTGCTTTATCTTCTAGCTTCTTCCTCTTCTGGTCAGGAACATGGACATATGAAAGACACCCAAAAATTCTGAAGTAATCAACTGCGGGTCTTCTCTCGCTCCAAGCTTCTTCAGGTGTCTTATTTAAAATAGCGAGAGTGGGACTTCTATTCAAAAGATGAACACTCCAATTGACTGCCTCCGGCCAGAAGCTTTTTGGAACTCCACTTGACGTCAAGAGGCTTTGCACAATATTCAGAATAGTGCGGTTCTTCCTTTCGCAGACACCGTTCTATTGCGGTGAATAAGCTGCAGTGAGTTGGCTTTTAATCCCATGCTCCACACAAAAATCCGCGAACTCAGTTGAAATATATTCGCCACCACGATCTGTGCGGAGAACTTTGATTGGATTTTCACTCTCTTTTTCAACAAGAGTTTTGAAGCTCTTGAAGGCTTCAAAGGCTTCAGATTTTTCTTGCAAAAAGTAAGCCCAAACCTTCCGACTAAAATCGTCAATGAAGGTAATGATATATCGTTTACCTCCATTGGCCATTGGGGAAATTGGTCCGCAAATATCTGAATGGACAAGTTCGAGGTGCTTCTTGGCTCTCCATGCTTTGCCTTTTGGAAATGATCTCAGTGTTGTTTGCTAACAACACACTCTTCACATATTTCGGACTACGCCATGATTGGGGAAGTCCCTCCACCATCTTCTTATGATGTAACGTCCGCAACCCACCAAAGTTGAGGTGTCCGTATCTGAAATGCCATAACCATGCTTTATCCTTCAATCTTGCAGAGAAACATGAGTGAGAGGTGCCATGAAGATGCAGCGGGAACATCTGATTGGCAGTCATATTAACTTGAGCAATCAGATACTGTTTCTCATCATGGATTTTGCAAACACCTCCTTTGAGTGTAATTTCATATCCCTTCTCTTGCAATTGTCCAACACTTAGAAGGTTGGTCTTTAACTCAGGAACATAAAACACCTCTTTGATCATCTGAACCGAGGTTCCTTTAGAAACAATTGCAACTGTCCCTTTACCCTTGACTGACACAGTCGAGTCGTCTCCAAATTTGACTGAGGTGCGAAACGACTCATTTAATGCAGAGAATGCCTTCTTGTCTCCACACATATGGTTGCTGCAACCGGTGTCAATATACCACAGGTTCGATGAAATTTTCTCCGTTTCTTGACACACCATTAGGAGAGACACTGCTTCTTCTTTTTCTTCCACAAAATTAATCCTTTCCATGCTTTGTGTATTTAAATTGGTACGACATTCAGATTTGTAATGTCCATACCTATGGCATCTAAAACACTCTACTCTAGATTTGTCTGCTGACCTTGGTTTGAAAACAGTTGAGTGCTGACCTCCATGTCCTTGTCCTCCACCTTGAGCATCACGAGAAAAATGACCATTAGGCTTTTGATTGAAACTGCGACGTTCATTGGTTCCCCTTCCTCTACCTCTGCCACTATTCGTTCTTGTTGTTGACGAAAAGTGATCTGTAGCTGCCTTCAATGCCTTCTCTTCCGGCTCTTGCTGAAGAAAATTTTGTTCGTGAACCAACAACGACCCTTGCAAATCATCAATTGAGAGTTCTTCAATGTCCTTGGCTTCTTGTATAGAACAGACAACAAAGTTAAACTTTGGTGTCAGAGATCAAAGAATCTTCTCAACGATGGTGACATCCTCCGTCTTATCGCCGGGAATCCGCATCTTATTGACAATTGCCATTGTCCGAGAGAAGAAATCGGTAATTGACTCTCCCGACTTCATTCTTAGTAACTTAAACTCTCCACAAAGCATTTGAAGTTGCTGCCTTTTTGCGCTTGCGGTACCTTGATATTTTTTCTTCATGGAATCCCATATGTGCTTGGAGGTATCCATATAGAGAATTGTCTCCAAGATTGATCTGTCAATGGCCTGAAAAAGGTAGTTTTTGGCCTTGAGATCTTTCAATCTTGCTGCTTCCAGAGCCGTCCGTTGTGCTGCTGTCAACGTAGCTCCTTCTTCTGGTTCGGCAACTCCAGAGATAACAACATCCCAATTTTCCTTGGATTTCAGGAAGTTCTCCATTAGCATGCTCCAATGATCATAATGACCATCAAAGCATGGAATAGCTAGTTGGACAAAGGTTTCTGAAGCCATCACCGCTACTGGATACCAAGAAAAAATCTTTCCTCACGTGTTTTCAACTCAAGCTCACTTTTTGGCTACTGCCTTTCACTCTCACTTTTTCCTCTCGTGTTTTTAACTCACTTTTCCTTCTTTAATGGCTCTGATACCACTGTTACAGAAAAGTTGCAGAAGCTGGCTGTGCTTTGCAAGCACAAAGAAAAAACACAGAAAAGAGAGTCAGAGAGAAGAGAGTGTACACCCATGAAAAAATGCTTACTGCATTCATACGTCATAATTGAATAACAACTTAGCCTTTTAGATAGGCCATACACCAACAGAAAATCCCAGAAAAATAGCCACAACAATTGACCCACTATGCTGAACTATCTACCCACTATCCTGAACGTGTGTGCAGCAACAAACATGCTGCAACAGATTCCTATAAACTAGGACAACCAACTAGGCTTTATTATAAAAAAAAAACAAACAAATACTTTGACTAATTCAACAAAGACGCTGGGCCTTCTGTGCAAGGCGCAATGCCTCTGCAAAGTGATTGCTTCGCATACGTACTTCCGCAATTTCCTTTGTCCTGACAGCCTCCTCTTTGTTGCACTCCATTAGTTTGTTGCTAATGTATAAAAGTCGGACCGTGAATATCAATCAAAAATCCATCAATAGGTACCAATTTCACCCACAGACTGCAAAAGAAAACAATTGAATCCACCTACCTAGAAGCAGCAAAGATTCGCGACATCTCTGACACGAACGAGGACAAAAAACTATCAGCAAGCTAAACGACACACACGAGATAAAGAGTGTGTTTCCCTTTTTCTCTCAAGAAGGCGAAAACGCATGTCAGAAGCGAAGACTGATGATAAACAAATGATACTAAGGCATTGGACCCTCCATGGATCCAGTCAGCCACATTCTCGCGATCAATCCCCAAACTGATTCAAGTGAAGGACCTGGAAAAATAACCGCCGTCAGATAAATCGGATCCAGAACACAGACGTGAAGGCAAAACATGTGAAGAACCTCGATTGGAGATGCTGCATACACTCCAGCAGCGCTCATGAATACACAATCTTCTCACCAGGAAAACGTTCACGCGTGGATCTGAGTGATTTCGACCCTGACTGTAAAGGTCCCCTCGTCCCAAACTCTGAGCAAGCAAACCATAACAAGCGTAAATTGTCTTCCGGGAAGGCATGACAGGTGAGAAAATAAGCATGAACCGTCAAACAGGAGATAAACAGATATTCTCTCACTCCAGTCAGATTTTTCACAAGTCCATAGCTCCATAAACGTCACTCTATCAGAAACAACCTCCACTCAAAACAATTTTCAAATTCAGAGGCCAAATCGAGCGAAAGCCTGGAATGACAGAGCAAGCTCGCAGACACGCAAAGCACCGAATGCAAAAAAACAAGCGCATGCAATGTCAATGTCCCTCTACAGTCGCGAGCAGAACAGACCACCACGGAAGTCAACGAAACCGTAAGGAATATATCATCTCGCACTCGGCACCGAAGAACGAACTTACTCTCAGCAATCGGAATGACGGAACCTTTTCAAATCATGCAAAAAATTGAAGGTGATGACGAGCCAGAAACCCTAAAACCGCAACATTCCCACAAGCAGAAATCGCTGGTCGGAGGATCGGAGGGAGGGAGAGAGAGAGAGAGAGAGAGAGAGAGAGCAGTGTTGGAGTCAACACCTGAGAGAAAGAAAAGTCCTAATTGGACTTTGGTCTTAACCGACTCAGGCAAAGGAAATGCGGCCCTTGACTCTTAAATAAGAAGAAAAGCAAAGGCACCGTCTCTGTCTATCTCCTCTAGAAGCCGCAAGTTGCTGAAAAGAAAAATCCAAGCTGGTCTTCATGTTGACGGTCAATTTCCTTAATAACGAAGGAAGAGAAGCAGGCCGTGAAAGCTGTCACTTGAAGAAAACAAGTTGACAAGTCAACTAGCTTAACATCAAGGAAACTCCACCAACCTAGGACTATTATGAATAGGGAGAAGGTGCCCCATGAGGAGATGTAGGAGTGCCTTGGAGTGCAAAAGAAAGGCCACCAGATGCAAAAGGTGAACTTCAAGTAGACCCGTCAAATGGGTGGGTCGGATCGGGTTTAGGTCGGGTCGAATATGGATCGATCCATTTAATCCTTTTTGACCCATTTTCATACAATGCAAATATAGTGACTCATACCCGACCCGACTTATATTACTAGAACACATTAATATTTTGGGAAAACTCATACCTACCCATTTAATCACTTTAAGCTCTTTACATGTATATGTTATTTGAATAAAAACTCCACATCAAATTTAAAAAGCAAATTAAATAATAAAAAATTTAGTAAATAAAGTAAAAAAATGTAAAAAAAACCTATAAATTGAAATACTTATAAATTTGACCCAAAAAATAACTTATAAAGAACTATAGGCCAAACCCATTTTGTAACTCATATTTAATGAACCCAATTTCATATGGGCAACTCAAGCTAAGTTGACAATCAATCAATCCAAAGAAAGAACAAATCACCTGTATTGCAGGAACTATATCACATCCTAAAAAGACCACTAACAGAACGAAAGACAATTTGAAATAGAAAAACTACAGACCATTTACTAGATTAAATTCCTGAAACAGAATATGTGATGTACAAATCGCTTCCTTCATTTTCCACACAATATAAGACTAGTCAAGTACATGATGTTTTGACTGGTGCCAATTCATCTATAGCGGCAAGAATATCAACCACATCGGAAAATTATATTCTAAAAGCAACATGGAGTTAGCATCAAGCTAAGCTTGGAGCTACGTGGTATTACCTTGTTTCCCCTGCTTTTTGACCTGATCATCAACGCACACTACATTTACATCCACTTAGATTTTGAAAACAACCCGCTACGAACACTACAACCAAGAACTTATCCAAAAACACATCCACGAAAAGCTCGATTCAGAGGCCTCGGTGAGACAAACAGATTATCACGGCAAGTGAAACTTTCGAACCTGAGATGAGAAACAGGAAGGAGGAAACCAAGAAAATGAGATAAAAGAAAGTATACACACTGTTAAGAGAATAGTTGATTTAGCAGGAATTGAGGAGAGAGGAGGGGAAAAAAGGAAGAGAGGTAGGAACAGAATTGTAATTGCTTACTCTTTAGTGTAATCTAATGGCCCTTTAAATAGCCGAGTACACATATGGATATCAATTATAAATGGAAACTAATTAATGGCTATTCTTATAGATAGAAACTAATTGATAGCTATCCTTATTAATGCTTATTACTATCCCCGTCATAAATGGAATGCGATTCTCCTTAGCCTTGTTTAGGCATGTTCTTGCGCCGTGAATATACTTGCAATCCTTGGGACGTAACATTCCTTCCCCCACAGAGAGACGACTTATCCTCAAGTCGAATATTATCCAAGAGGTGCTCATCCTCCCAACTGGAGTCGTCGGGCGCGAGGTCCTACCACTGAACTAACACTTGTGAGACCGGCTTAGAATCCTTCATAATAACTCGTTGACCCAAAATTGCTAGTGGCTTGTGAATGGGTTGGTGATCAACAACTGCCTTTGGGAGTGGGTGCACTCTAGTGGAGTGTGAAGCCATATACGGTTTGAGTAGTGAACAATGAAAAACTGGGTGTATGCGACTAGAAGCTGGCAAGGAAAGTCGATAAGCCACTTGTCCCACGCGCTCCTCCACAGGGAACGGACCATAGTAGCGAAGTCCAAGCTTGTGGGCTGAGTCTTTGCGAGCCGACAGCTGGCAATAAGGATGAAGACGAAGAAGCACCATGTCGCCTGGTTTGAAAGAAATATCAGTGCGGTGCTTATCTGCCTGGGTTTTCATGACCGCCTGAGCTTTGAATAAATTGGCACGTAACTGAGACAAGATTATATCACATGAGCGCAAGTCATGATCGACTGCTTCGACAGCACTGGTGCTTGCACAATAGGCCAAGAGGGAGGGAGGTTTTCTGCCGAATGTCACCTCAAAGGGCGTCATACTCGTAGAAGCTTGGAACGTGGTGTTGTAGTGGTACTCTGCCCAGCTAAGTATCTTGGACCACTTGGAGGGTTGATCATGAACAAATGAACGAAGGAACTGTTCAATGCAGTGAATGACACGCTCCGTTTGTCCGTCCGATTGCGGGTGGTAAGCGGATAAGAAATGCAGCTTTGTTCCCTGGAGTTTAAACAACTCCTTCCAAAAGGCACTTTGAAAAATGGGGTCACAGTCGGAAATAATGGAGTGAGGTATGCCGTGTAGCTTTCCCACTGTAGTCTAGAAAACTTGGGCCACCTTGGTGGCAGTGTAACGTGATGGCAAAGAAGCGAGGTGGGCCCCCTTGGAAAAATGATCAACGACCACTAATATGGCCGTATACCGAGTAGATGGTGGTAAATGTGTGATGAAATCCATAGAGAGATCGGTCCATAATGAGTCGGGTGGAGCAATGGGTTGAAGTAACCCGTAGGGGTGATGGTTGGTGGGTTTGCACTTTTGGCAAACATCGCATGCTTGGACGAACTTGGCTATGTCCTTGCGCATGCCGTCCCTCTAAAAATGCACAGAGATGCGTTGTAAGGTCCGTTGTACCCCAGAGTGACCACCATGTAAGCTGGAGTGATAATCTGACAGAAGGAAGGGCATAAGGGAGGAGTCCGCCGGCAAGAACAAGCGGCCACGGTGACGGAGCAAACCTGATGAGTAAGACCACGCGAACTGGGAGTCAGGTGCACGCTGGAGGTCGTCAATGATGCTCTTTGTACGTTGGTTTAGCAGCAACTCGGCACGAAGGGTGTCAAGGTCAGTATTCACGGACAGGATAACGTCAAAAGTGCGATCTCCTGGTTACCGTCATCATAAAACCTTGACAGGACATCTGCCGCTGCGTTTTTCTTGCCCGGCTTATACTCGATAGAGTAGTCAAAGCCGACCAATTTTGAGAGGAACTGCTGATGTTCTGGTGTCTGGATGGTTTGCTTAAGAAGATGGTGCAGCGGCCTATGATCTGTCCGGATAATGAAGTGAGCGCTGAGCAGATATTGACGCCACTTCTGAATGGTGGACCGTATTGCGAACAACTCACGCATATAAGTTGACTTGCTGCGCATGATGGGAGAAAGTTTGCGACTGTAGAAGGCCAGCGGGTGTTCAGACTGCATCAATACTACGCCAATTCCTACGCCGCTGGCATCAATCTCCACAACAAATGGAATGAAAAAATCAGGTAGTGCCAATACCGGGGCATGACTCAAAGCTTCCTTGGGGGAGTTGAAGGTGTGCTCGGCTTGTTCGCACCATGCAAATTCGTTCTTGGTGAGGAGGTCTGTGAGGGGTGTGGCTAACGTCGCGTAGTGGCGGATGAAACGACAATCATAGCTGGTCAACCCCAAGAAGCCGCGAACCTGCTTGGGCGTTATTGGGAGTGGCCAGCCTCGAACCGCTTCAAGCTTGGCAGGTTCAGCAGAGACACCGTGCACTGAAACAATATGTCCAAGGAATTCGACAGTAGGTGTGGATAACGGTAAGGTCGAACATTGACCGCCTCAGTGCCCGTTTTGAGGGGAATGCGGTGGTCGACATCACGCGCCGGTGGAAGGCCGGTTGGTTGGGCAAATAGGTCGTCGTACTTCGCAAGAAGGGTTTGTACTGACAGCGGAATGTCAGCATCCACGTCTGTTGGAGGTTGGTCTGATGAAGAGGCGGATAAGCACATGTAGCCTACGCTTATGCCGTCAGCAGCCATGAGTTTGAAAAGGCCCGAGGATGAGACCGAGAGTGCGCGCAGAGAGGGGTCACCTTGCAGCCGCACTGGTTGGCCATGGTGCTGGAATTCCATTGTCATGTTGGCATGGTCTGTTACGACTGGCCCCAAAGTTTCTAGCCATTGGACGCCCAAAACAATATCAGTGCCCTGCAGGTCAAGAATAAACTGGTCCATGGTAAATAAATGGGTCTGAAGCAGTACGGGCACATCGTGACATATGGCCGTGCATCGTAGGGTATCACCATTGCCTACCAACACTTGGAATGGAGTGATCGACGACAGCAGTAGGGCAAGGAACTTGGACATGCGCGTAGAGAGAAAGTTATGTGTGCTTCCTCCATCAACCAGTACTTGAACCGACTGACCTCGCACTATTCCTGTCATGCGCATGGATTTGGCCGAACGTTGGCCCAGGAGAGCATTGAGGCTGACTTCGGGTTCAGGTGGAGTAGTTTGGATGGCCTCACTTTTGATTGGCAGCGAGACGTTGTCCTAATCATCGAAGCCCTCTAAATATAAAAGGGTCGGACGCCCTTTACAACGATGCCCGCGGACAAATTTTTCGTCACAGTTGAAGTATAGACCTTTGTCACGTCGTACTTGCATCTCTTCTGCGGACATATGTTTAACAGGAAGCCGTGGAAGCGGTGGTTGTGCGGTTGCAGATGCGGACGAGTGGGGTGATGCGAAAGGGCGTGGGGAAAACAACCGGTTGCGCGGCTCGCTGAACTGGGCCTCGT